TTAATAAAATATAATTATAGAAAAAAGAAAAAAAATAGTTCAGTCTGATGTTATTGGTCATATAAGCATCCATCTTCAGAAATAAAAATTTACCTTGCTGAGATTTAAAAGAGAGAGAGAGAGAAATGCTCCAAACCATTGGTAATAAGAGAGATGCAAAGCAAAACCACGATGAGGTACCATTTCGCTCCAGTAATAGTGGCAATGTTTAACAGGGCAGCAAGTAATAAATGTTGGAGAGAATGTGGCGAGAAAGGAACTCTTACACATTGTTGGTGGGATTGTAAAATGGTACAACCATTCTGGAAGGCAGTTTGGCACTTCTTCATAAAGCTGAACATAGAAATTCCATATGACCCAGCTATTCCACTACTTGGAAGATATCCTGAGAAAATAAGAACTGAGGCACAAACTGAAATTTATACACCAATGTTCATAACAGCATTATTCACCATCGCAAGAACATGGAACCATCCCAGATGTCCAACCGCAAATGAATGGATTGAGAAATTATGGTACATTCACACAATGGAATACTATGCAGCATGCATAAATGATTTTGCCAATTATTACCTAACTTAGGAGTGGACAGCATTATGTTGAGTGAACTAACTCAGTCCCACAAGGATAAATATTGTATAAAACCATTATGGTAGATGAGTATAAGGATCCAGGAGGGGTGGGAGAGGCTGGAAGCAGAGGGATGAGGATGTGCAGAGGGAAGGGGGGAATTAATCATGGGGTTATACAGTTTGATAGGTGAGGGAGTGAGGGAAACAGAAAGAATTTTTTTCTTGAAAACAATGTATTTGAATTTTGTAAATAAACTAATAGAAAAAGAAAAGAGAGATGAGGAGAACTCAGTGTGTACCAAGGCCCTGTAGGTATCTTCAGATGGCAGAGCTTGGTTCCAAAATCTGTGCTGTGATCCACCAGTCAGGGCCTCCAAGTCTCCCCAAATTGGTAGGTCAGGTGGAAGACTCATGGTGTTGTAGGAGTTGATGGGTTGTAATATTTGCAGGTTAGGCAGCAGGCTGACAGTTTACTTTCCAAGAACTAGAAGTCAGAGGTTGATGAGCTGAATGCAGTATTGAAAGACAGCAAGCTTTATCAGAATATCCATATATTTTGGATACACAGGCCACATGCCCAAGCAAACTCTTTTCAATGGATCAACTGATTACTTGAGATTTAAAGAATGGATGATCATTCCATAATATTGTCAACCCAGCCAAGCTGACACTAATCTTAACCATTATAAATGCTTTGAAAAAGAGTCATTCATTCATTCATTCATTCATATTTAGTGAGCAGCTCCTGCGTGCCAGGCCTTGTTCAAGGAGCTGGAGGCTGTGCTCTGAACGCCTCTCCGTGTGGAGCTGAGGGTCTAGTGTGGAAGCAGACAATGAAGAGACATACTCCGTCAACGCTCCCCAACTGCACAGCAGGCGCAGCTGAGGGTGTGAGAGCTGCGTTTAGGAGAGTGGTGATGAAATCTCTAGCGCCAGGACTTGTCGAACATGGAGGAGATAAAGATGGGCATTCCACTGATGGCACTGGACCTGCAGAAGGCCGGTGGCATGAACAGCCCGTGCAAAGCCGTAACTGGAGGCTGGTGGGTTTAAAGGCTGGTGGAGACCTGGATAATGGGGTCAGAAAGTGCAGGAGCAAAGGCTTTCCTTAAATTCATGCCGTTGAATGAAAACCAACTCATGGTTGACTCACGTCCCAAGAATGGAAATGGGATAATGATGAGCTGAAAGCAGGATTGAAAGACGGCAAGCTTGGTTTCCAGTGAGTTTCCACGGCTGTAAATCACGTGGGATGAAATTGTCTACCCTTCTCTCACACAGTTGCTGGTCGATCAGAACCACCAGAGAGGCAGCACAATCCCTGCAGACGAGGGGGCCTGAACTCCCTTTACCTAAAGGCATAAAGGAGAGGGATTCAGACTCTTTGGCACAGACCAGCTCACAGGGGCCTGGCTGAGCACTGTGAGGACTTTGGGTTTTTCTGCACGTGACGAGAAGGCTTTGCAGGGCGAAGATAATGGACACAATCTAATCAGGTCTTACGATGCTCCCCTCAGCTGCTGCGAGGAGATGGACTTTCGGCAGGAGGAGACCCTAAGATCCAGTGACTGATGATGGCGCAGAGGTGCGTGGAGGGCTGCAGAGGCCAGTTCTGGGAATGCTCCCAAGGGAGGACCTGCAGGGCTTCTTGGTGGGTGAGAAAGAGGGAGCTCAGAGCAAGGAGCCCGGCAGCGGTGGCCACCCTGGTCCCCAGTCTCATGGACAGCCACTCCTTTGACCTGGTCCCAGGGCAGGTGGAATGTGGTCACTTGGGAGCATGACCCCAGCTGTCACTGTCTCCTGGTCACTGGACCTCACTGCACCCTCAGTCATTCTCTTGGCTGACTTTTCCCACCTCTGCTTGGAAGATTAGGGTGTCAGGGCTCCAAGAGAGGAAGGGCCTTCTCTGGGTCACACAGCCCAAAAGGGTGGGTTAGGCTGAAGGAGCCACCTGTCACGCTCTGACTCCAGTGCTTCTCCTGCTGTTTTGCTGTAGTTGTTAGGTGATGTCAAGGTGACCACATGTGACCCTCACTATGTCAATCCACCTTGTTGAAGTTCTTCCTCTCATTCCCTAGCCCTCCACCTTTCCCAGCATGACGTCTTTTTTTTTTATAAAGATTGGCTTCTCCTTACAACATATCCAAAAGGTGTGAGGCAAAACCTTAGCACCTTCGCCTCTAAGAAACACCTTGTTGTTGTTACATGCTGTTGAGATGAGTACAACTCAGAGCGAGCTTATGAACAACGGATCTAAACCCTGCCCTATTCTTCACCATCCTCATCATCTCTGACACACTTTGACTTATTGTTTAATCACTGTGTCAGCCCCTCTCTTTGAGGGTCTTCCTACAACATCCCAAATCAGGAATTCTCAACTCCTGGTTTTGCCCTGAGAGGACGTTTGGCAATGTCTGAAGACACTTTAACATGTCACAAGCAGAGAAGGAGGCTGCTGGCATCTAGTGGGTAGAAGTGAGAGCTACTGCTGAAACGCACACGACAGCCCAGAGTCAGCCAGCCCAGAGGAAAACAGTGGTGGAGTTGTGAAATCTGCTCTAAATTGAGAAGGCAGGAGACATCGACGCACAGCCTCCCCAGACACCCAGGACCTCCTGAAGACCTCCAGAGTGACATGTCAGCCTTTCCCGGGAAGGGAAGTAAGCCTATGCCAAGGTGGTAGTGGGCAGCGGGCAGCTGTGGGGACAAGTTTTCCCCTGATACCAACTGTTTCTTGAAAAGCTGAATTTGGCATCATCTATGACTTTTCTTCTTTTCAATCAGCCCTGGTGTCTGAGGTATGTTCATCCAAGAACAGTCCCCAGTGGCCTTATGTGTCCCCAGCCCCGCTGGGATGGTGATGCATCTTGTTTTCCTCACCATCCTGCTGAGGAAACTGTCCACACTTCCCATCACCAGGGTAACATCCTGGCCCCGCTCCTTTGCAGCGATGCTCCGCCAGCCTCTGGCCACTGCCTTGCGCGCGCCCTGGACCTTTACCACTTCCTTCTTGTTCTTGAGTCCTCTAGTCTGTCCCATCCACAACAGGACTGTTATCATCACCCCCAAACAGCCCAGACATCCCACTCCATGCCCCTGACTCACAAAAGAACCCACTCAGGAGCCCTTGGTCCTCAGAATGAAAGCTGCTTTCCCTTTCAGCCTATTCCTATCTGAATTCTGTGTGTCAGGCATCGTGTGGAAGGCACAGGACAGAACAGGTTCAGCTCCGCTGCTCACAAGGTCCCCACGAGTGGCGTAGAGTGAGCTCAACCACACCTATCAACAACTGCTCTTCAGTGTTTGTTTCGCGGTTCTTTTTATTAATTTTTTTACTTTTGCTTCTATTTTAATTTAAAAAACATTGTATTTAAAAACAAACAAACAAAACAAAACATTGTATTGTGGCGCAACGAAGCACTTGCCGGTTCAACAATTTTTCACATGCAGAATTCACCAACAGAGATTCTGTGTTTCCTTCCCTCACTTTTCCGCTTCCATTAACAGAAACTCAGTATGCTCTAAGTGAGGAATCCTGTGGCTAACCAAAAGGGTTGTTGTTGTTGTTGTATATCATTGAGTTGGAACTGACCCATAGCTGACCTGCCAGCAGGCTTTCAGAGGCAGTTCATCGCATGGGAGGGGATTGCCTATCCTTCTCCCACAGAGCAGCTGGTGGATTCGAACCCTGCATCTTCAGGATTGCAGCACAGCTTCTCACCAGAGCTACCTAATAAAAAAAACGTAGTGGTTTGAGAAAGATGTAACAGTCTGTGTCCATAAAGATTGCATCCCCAGGAAATCCTATGGGACAGTTCTCCTCTGTCTTCTTGTTTTATGCTATAGAGTTGCTTGGAACTCATAGCAACACTATGTACAACAGCTCAGAACTCTGCTCTGCCTTGAGCTAATTTCATTGTCTCTGACACATCTATCCCCATGACCCCAGGCACTGAGTCAGTCCATCTCACCTAGGGTCTTTCTCTCGTGCACTCTCCCTCTTCAAGGACTGGTCTCACCTTGCAACATGCCCATACTATGTCAGACAGAGCTTCAAAATCAATACTCTTCTCAAGTACCACAACTCAAAGGCATTGATTCTTCTTCTATCATCCTTGATCATTGTCCAGCTCTCTGATGTGTGGCAAGTAATTGCAAAGACCATGACTAGGATCAGGCACACCTTAGTCTCCAGACTGACATCCTTGCTCTTCAGTACTCTGGAGAGGTCGCTGACAGCAGATTTTCCCAGTGCAATTGATCTTTTGGTTTCTTGGCTGCTAGTACCACGAGTGTTGATTGTGGAGCCGAGCAAACTGAAGCTGTTAACAGTCTGTCTTATAGGGTTGGATTGTCTCTAGGGTACACACAACATCATAGGTCCACAGCAGGAGTGTCCTTCCCCTCCTCCCTGTGCCCTTCTCTTTCCCTGGTAAACACCAGTGAGCTTTGATCCTACGTGTTGCCCATTCCATGTAAGTGAGATCATAGAGTATCCATCCTTTTGTGCCTGACTCGTTTCAGGAAATGCTTTCACGTTTCATCCATACTGCAATATGTGTTAGAACTTCGCTTCTCTTTGTAACTAACATTCCATTGTATGCATGCATGCATGTATTTTGTGATTTTATTCATCTTTTGTTTCTACTTTTTGGTCATTGTTAATAGTGCTGAATGACACTGATGTACAGGTTTCTGGCTGTGTTCCTGTTTTTAAATCTCTTGGGTTTTCTAGGATTAGAAATGCTGGATAACAATATAGTCATTCCAGGTTCAACTTTTTGAGCAATTGCAAAACTGTTTTTCACATTGACTGAAACATTTTACATTCCCACCAGGGAGGCATTGGGTTCAAATTTCTCCACATCCTTCTCAACACCCACTGTTTTCTGGTTGTTTGAATCATAGTCATCCCAGCTGGGGTGAGGTGACATTTCACTGTGGTTTTGATTTGCATCTCTCTAATGGCTTGATTCAGTGACGGGGTAATGGGGGTAGGTGTGTCAGAGACAATAAGCTTGGCACAGGATAGAGCAGGATTTAGGGCTCTTGTATATAGGGTCGCTGTGAGTCACAGGCGACTACAGGGCATATAACAAAAACAACAATGGTTCTAAAGGGAGCTCTGGTGGCCTAGAGGCAAGAAGCTGTCCTGCAATCTTGAAGGCACGTGGTTTTAGGCCGCTAGCTGCCCTGTGAGAGAGGTATGGTCAATCTCCTGCCATGTGATTAACTGCCTCTGAGAACCTGCTGGACGGTCAGCTATGGGTCGGTTCCGACTCTGGTATACAACGACAGCTGCTGATGTGCAGTTTTTCATGTCCTTTTTAACCATTTGTATAACCTCTTTGATGAAATGTCTGTTCTAGTTCTTCACCTATGTTTTAACTGAGTTGCTTGTCTTTTTGTTGTTAAGTTGCAGAATGTGTGTGTGTATGTGTGTGTGTGTGTGAGAGAGAGAGAGAGAGAGAGAGAAAGTATGTATTTTGAATATTAATCCCTTACCAAACATAAAAAACTCAAACTCACTGTTGTCAAGTTGGAACTGACTCATATCCGAGTCTCTGGCCTGTTTTAGGAGCTTGTAAATTGTGTGGGAGGAAGTTGTCTATCTTTTCCCAAATGGGGATTCGAACTACCAGAGAGATTCTCCCTCTGGGCTACGTCCCCTGACCTCCTTACCAAATAAATGGTTCCTGCAAGTTTTCTCCTGATTTGTAAGCTGTGTCTTCACTTTGTTGATAGTCTCCTTTGGTGGGATCTTTTGAATTCTTCCTTCCCAAATGAGTCGCAAGCGACTCGACAGCACATGACAACAACAACAACATCCTAAGTGTTCTGATTCAGTCATCTGCTGGGCATCTGGCAGCTGGACAATAAATGAATAAGAATGGCAGAAAAAGACAGATGCCTTTGAGTTGTGGCGTTGGAGAAGAGTGCTGAGCGTTCCACGGACGATCGGAAGAACAAGCACGGGTGTTTTGGAGAAAGTGCAGCCAGAGCGCTGCTCAGAGGCAAGAATGGTGAAA